TTGGCTTAGTTCAATGAGAACGTGTCTGCAACCCAGCTCATTACCACACGCTCAGCAAGCAGCCGTTCGCCGTGGTTCTGTCTCTAACCATTAGCTATAACATCCTCGATCCCAGTTCTTTTTCACTCCCAATATTAACTCCTCCACAGCAGATGAAAGCTCCAGGTCTCCACAAAGCCATTGGGAAGCCCTCCGTGGTGGGCACACACGCTTCAGGGATAGGCCCAAAGAAAGACAACTGCTTTGATCAGCTCCGCATCCACGTGTGAGAGGTACAAGTACTGCCTTGTCAATGCAAATTCCAAACAGATCCAATTTATGTGGACCTGTTTACAGTTCACTCCTGAAATTTCTCCTTTGTTTAGGCAACAGAGCATCAAGTGGGAAGATGAGACAGGAGTGTTAATACAGAACAAATAACCTCAAGGAGAGAACAGAGAGATTGCTTTTCCATGATGTTTTTGGGACATGTAGATGAACACTGCTTTTTAGCACCCCAAAAGCAACACGTAATGCACGGCCTCCAAGGGACACAGATGTCCTGTTCTCCCCATCAGATGGGATTTCCATAGGAATCGGGTTAACACGCAACTGTTCTGGTCACCGAGGAAACCAAAGGCCAAAGCTCTCAGGGCTTGTCATCTCCATCGCACTGAGCGGCAACCCCTAGGAAAAGCCCAGGCTCTCTGGGAGCTCTGCAACAGTGGAAAGCTGGCCTCGTGCTGCTTCTCACACCCCAGCAAAGAAGCCTTTAATCACTGGGGAAGTGGTCTTTAATCCACACCCATTAAATGCAGAACCATAGCAAACTGCTTGCTGTTTGGAGCGAGACATGGTGTTCTGCCATGTCTCCAGTAAGCGCCCTCTCAGACAATATGCAGACATCAAACCAACTCCCTCTAATCACCAGGGACAGAAGGAAGAGAGGGAAGATCTACCCACCTTCCTCTAGCATCAGTGAGCCTGATTCCTCCACTTCTATCCATGCAAATAGTCCTACTGCAACTGGAAAGTCATGAAATGTGGCACTGCAGAACAGAGGGTATTTGAGGAGAGAAAGAGGAGAAATTAACAGGATTTTTGCAGGAGAGAAATGATTCAGAGCCTTGGGGCCAGGACTCTATTGCAAAATGCTTGTTCAGATCCTACAGCAGCGTGCAAAGCACACACACACCAGGCAGGAGACAGCCCTATTTGCTCCATGAGCCCTGCAGAGCCTCCTCCGTCCCCCCCATCCCATGCAGCCGAACTGGATAGAGGAGATTGGCCTTGTTTACAGACACACCATGAGCTGCTTAGAGGGGTTCTAAATCCCTGTTTGATGTGCAAACCAGCAGCTTTGCTCCTGTGCCTTTATCAAGCAGCCCTGGCTCTGCTCATCTTTATGGGGGTGTGTGTGTCTCTCGGTTCAGATTAAAAGCACCTTGTGTCATCATCCGCTCTCAAGGTAAGCCCCTCTGGTAGTGCCCACGCTGGACCCTGTCTGCTGCCTCTCCTTTAGCTGATCCAGCGGGAAAGGGCTTCTACATCCTCATTAGGCTCATCACCTCCCAGTGTGTGCTCCCCCAGAGGCACTGAAGCATACTTGCTCTACCTTTGCAGATGTTATTAAGCTGCTTACTGAATCTCACCACTGCAGGCTGCCTCTCTATGCTCCAAAGGAACTACAGACCCCATTAAACGCACTTTTCCTTCTCTTCCTCCATTTGGCATAGTATATCCCCATTGTGACTGCAATTTAATTAGCACCAAGGAAAGCATTTGCCAGCGTTTTCCACTGCAGAACACCACCTGAAGAGAAGGATGCAGCAGAAAACCCAGCCTGCAGTCAAGAGAGGAGACATCACTCACCTTTCCTACATAAACTGGCCTGGGAGCTCTGAGACCACCAAAGCTTATTCTTCCAGGCAGGGTCTACATATTCCATGTCCATGGCAGGGGGCTGGAACTAGATGATCTTTAAGGTCCCTTCCCAACCAAACCACACTGTAGGTTCTGCAGTCCTGCAGATGGCCAGCACTTGGGTGAAGTAGCTCCCCTCTCTTCCCTACAAAAGGACTATCTGTGGGCAAGAGCCAACCTTACCTCTCAGCAGCTGGATTAGCCTGCCCCAGGTTTAATGAATACATGTAGTCCAAACACTGGCTAGAGCAGTAGGAGATTAAACCCAGCAGCTGGATATAAGCCCAGTGCAGATATGACCTAGACTTCAAATGAGGACCTAGACAGCACTTTGATCAATGAAGAGCAACAGAGATGTCAGACAGGCAAGTGCCCTTCCTTTACCCGACATCCTCTAACACAAGAACTTAGTACTCTTTCAATCTGTGCTGGAAACAACCAACTCTTACACATTTGAGATTTGCAGAACCATTTGGTGACCCAGGGACTATAGAAACCAGTGCTCTTTATTTTGCAAGCACAAGAACCTCCACTCCCAGTCACAGAGAGGCAGAAAAAGCAGAAATGTACTTATTCTGAGGACATGATGCCATCAACAGTTGACCCAGAGAAGAAACAACAGCGTGAGATGGTACAGATGGATACAATCCTAAACCAAGGAGATGGGTTTCTTTAGTCAGTTCAGAATTCAGAGTCACAAACAGGGCAGCTCTTCCCAAATCCCAACACCACCACCACCACCCCCAGGACCTTAGGAAACCTGTATGCCTCAGTGCCAATTGCAATAAATCCGTAGTGCCACTAAGCAGACGCAATACACTCAAGTTTGCTCCATGATTAAGAGATCTCTGTAATACCTCCGGGTCCCCAGTGTGCCCCAAGCAGAGAGATGCTGCTAACATGCATCAAACATTAAGAATATCTCAATCATCACCAGGGCCGACGGTGGCTCCGAAGCCAATCAATAGGGCAATTAGATTTTATCAGCGCACGCCTCTCGGCCACCACCTTCTGCTGTCACTGCAGAAGCCTCGGTTCGGGGCTGCCAGGTCCAGGTCTGCCTGAGGAGCATCAGCTGAGGCAGAGTTCTGCCTTATTTTGATAGATTTTTGCTGTTGGTTTTCTGTATTTCCTTTAAAGGCGCCGTATCAGGGGACACTTCAAACAGGAGTTAAGCTGTCAGCTATTCTTATCGAGGTGTCTTGCTTCACTACCTCACTCCCAAACCTCTTGCCGGCTCAATCTCTACATTGCAGAGTAACCCTTAAACACTAACTCTTAAAACTAGTTCTACCATCCCCTCCTTCTACCCCTGCTAGTAGAAAGAAACGGAACCAAGACATAAACCCAGTAACCAGCATCAGCTACAAATCCCAGCACATTCTGCTTCTGTTCCCTTGACTCGCATGTCCAAGAGGTGGTGACACAGGTACCAGCTCAGCACACCTCTAGAGTCAGAGCTGGCAGGTTCTGCATAGACTTTGGAAGATGAGGCTTCCCTTAATCAACAGACATGTAAAGTGAGCCAGCTACCAGACGGGGTGGGGGGGGGAAATCAGGGTTAAAGTGCCCCTGTGGAGATGTGACAATGCCCCCTCTCCCTTTAGATACCCAATGCTCTCATCATCCCCGTACCTACTCTTTTGCTGGCCAATTCCTGTTAGACACACCAATCTGTTTTCTATTTCTCATCATTTCCTATGGTTAAGAAGCTAACCAGAGAATCTCAAATAATACTAAGAAAGAAGAATGAAGACTTCTGCACCTGCTCTTTTCTACTGCTGAACACTGGTGTGAATGAAAAGCACCCTCCACACTGCCGGAATGGATCTCAGAGAACTTCAGCAACACTGGTCAAGCCCAGCAGTTTCTCTGTAAGCAAACAACGTTTTAAGAACCATTTTAACAGAGAGGGTCAGCTGAGACACAGACTCCAGCAGGATCATACAGAAGAACCTACCTCTGGCCAGTTGGGCTCTTAGAGCTGTGTAGGAAAAGGGGCTGTGGAGGCTGGTTAATGAAGAGAACGTGGAGATTCAGCTGTGAAAGCAAAGCCTGTGGCTGCTTTACAGACACACCCCAAATCCCCCAGGTCAGCACAACAAGAATATGGGACTGAACACTTGACTGTTAAAGCAGTCACCTCAGCACAAACTCCAGCAGGCAGGAGGAACCTCTCTGGACAGGGGTCAGGCCTCACACAAAAGGCAAACCGGATACCTGTCAGGTTACTGAATATGCTCCAAAGTCATTCCCAAAACCTGTTAGATGTGGTGTTCCCTTCAGATCCAGGGTTTAGTTACACAGTCAGCAGAATGACTTACAAGAAAATAGGATACCCACAAACATACATAAAGCTACATATAGAAAAGATTTCCAGGAAAGGCCTACGTTAACATACAGAGAGAGCCAATCCTGATTTGGAAGGACAGGCACCACATAATAGCATAATTCCCAGTTTTTCCCCAACTTTTATTTATAATCATAAATAATTCTCTAGTTTATTACCTCACTTGTTGCCCGACTCATATCTATCACCAAAGCATCCTCGCCCATAGCTCCTGCACTGACATCCATAGAGGCACAGTGCAGAACCCAAGAGGAGCATTTCTGGTTTCACCACATTAAGTTGAAACCAGATGAGCCTCCCCGCAAAGCCAGGCAGAGCAATAAGACCAAACAATCCTGCTCACAAAGGAGCTGGCAGGCACAGAGGCAGCACAGGGAACCTCTGATTAATGAAATTACAAATCAAGCCATGCTCTCTGCAAGGCCTTTCTGCTTCACTTGACACCAACCCCGGGGACATTTCACTTCTTCGCTGGCGCAAAGCTCCTTTGCCAGGAGTTGAACACAGAGCCCTGGATTTGAGAACAACACAGGGCTGAGATCTCAAAAGGACTTTTAATATTGCCACGAAATCCATTCAGTGTTCATCTTCAGCCAGAATATTAAGAAGCCTTCGTACAGCTCACTCCGAAGTGTAACACAAACAGGCACAGACAAAACAACTGCTGCAATAATGAAGAAAGGAAAGAGAGAAAGAGAGGAGGGAAGGCAACAAACCCGAGCCAGCAGGACCTGCTCCAGCTGCTTACCTGCTGCTCCTAAGCCAACATCGATGCTGTTTCTCTTGAATTCACAGCGGCTCTGGGTCTCTGGCATAACGAGCTGACGGCTCTGATGCAGGTTGGAGATGATAGTGGAAAGGTCGTTATCGCGGCTGCAACAGAGCAGAAAAGCACCAAGTTAAGGCAATCCTATTTGCCACCACATAATTGATTTCTGTGTGTATGAGCATATGTGTGCGCGCACGCAAGAGCCTTTTGTTTGCCTCTGGCAGAGCTGTATTTCACTCAAGGTTCTCCCCCTCCTACCCATCAGGTTCCTAAGTAACCTCCTCTCGTTTTGGGGAGCGGAGACTTAAGTGCAAAGCACTTCCCAAACAGCACTCTCATTTCCCATCAAGGGCTCTGCAGCTGCCAGAGCTCCTGATTTCACTTTTGCCAGATATAACTTGCGTGGGCCAGAACTTACATCTCAGATGGAAAAACTCAAAGTGTAGGAACTGGCACAGCTATTCCAGAATTAATAGGAAACTTGAACTGAAAGAACTGATAGTTTTCTATCAGTTGCCACCCTTTTTAGTCTTAAAAACAAAGTCAGTTTTTTCCATTCCATCACTGCTGGAGCACAAGACTACTTTAGTTACCTGAAGACTAGTTCTGCGTTAAAGAGAAAAACCCACCACGAAGCTGGACATCAGCACTGCTCAGAGCTGAGGGGACACAGTTATTTACAAAGCTGATTTCCAACTCTTCAACAGATCCTGGAATAATGCTCCCTTCCGTCTGGGAAAAGAGAATGCATTAGAGCAGTTCAGCATCATGCTGTCCTTGCATCCAATTGCTGCTTTGGCTAGTTTTGTCTTTTATCCCTTTCTACAGAGAAGGAGAAAGCAAAAAGCCATCCCCTGTAGCAAGTACTGCAGTTCACCTGGCAAATGCTTTTGCTTGGAAGCTGCTATCCACTTGTACGATACTGTTGACTAAATGATGCACGAACATTGAAGAACAAGCTAAAACATACACATGACACTCAATGGAAATGCTGGAATGGCTCCCTTTTGTTTGTATGTTAAATCACTCATCCTTTCAGCACAAGGTGCTGGCTCCACGCTGAACGTGGCTATTTTAATCCCTCCCCTCTTCCTCAATGGAAGCTGACAGCCAGGAGAACCAGAGGCACCGAGAACAAAATCACACACATCAGCAACAGTGCCCTCCCTCCCACAGCCACAGCTCCTTCCCAACCTCTACTCACGTGCCAAGAGCACCCACTCTGTGCTGCTGTGGCACGCAGCACATGACACCAGCTCCCTGGTGCAGAGGAGAGGGTCCTCACCTGGGCCCGGCAGGACAGCACGGAGGGTGCATTATCTGCAGAATCACCTAGCTATGATCTTCCTTTAAATATCCCCCCCTTATCCCCCCTTACCTCCTCCCCAGCAGGGCTATCAGCACTAGCAACAGGAGCAGATCTGCTCAGATGCTCCAGCGAGCCCAGCCCTAGTGCAGAAGCAGGGGCTAATCTGTCGTCTAGCTCCCTGCTAATCAGATAAGTTTATGACAGAAAGTCTTTAGACAGAGGTACTTTCAGCGGGCGTCTGGCTCCAGATTTTCACAAGATGCAGCAGACAAAAACAGACTCTCTGTTCCCCGCTGCTCCCCCCGCCCCCAGGCTCAGCCAGCAGATAGGATGCTGGGCTCCCAAAGCCTTTGAGCACCCAGTGCATCTTCCTCCGCTAAACCAGTTCAGATTCCTCCTTATGCAAGCAGAAGGCTAATTACTTAAGCAAGCCCACAGGTGAGTGGGAAGCCCATTTCTCCTGTGCCAAGCAGTTTTGGGTCTTATCCTCTTTTAGCTGCCACCTTTAAGATGCATTATGCAAATATTTGGGTGTCTTAAGTCATTTATGGGATTAATGTGAAGTGATTATCAGTTCTTTTTAATCATGCCAATCAATAACTGGATGTCAGGGACAGAGGACAAATGCAGATAAACGCTGCCATCAGCACAACGCTGGGGAAAGGGCGGAGGAGAGGAGCCAGAAGTGCAGAGGGAGAGAGGCAGGGAGTAGGAAGAGGAAAAATGGGATAATTGCCTCTTTGCATTTGCAGAGCATCTTGCATCCCAATCCGAGCCCAAAGCACCTCTGATATATCAACACGGCAAGAGAGCCATCAGAAAGAACTGTTTTATCCTCTCCTTCTGGAAAGGACCACTGGAAAAGACCATAGCAACTCCTTAACATGACTTGATTGTCCAAACAGTATGATCTGTCCATTGAAAACTAAACCCAGGAGAAACGTTACCACACCTCAGAAGTAGTATCTTTCTTTCCCAACAATCTTCTGTTTTTGGGAGACTTTCCACAGCTTTAAAATCAAAATCATCATGGTATGCAAAGGTGTGATAGCAAGTCCTAACTCCACACACAAGCAGACAGCACGGGACTGACAGGCATACCCTACAGGCTCCAAATTTCAACTCAACCTACCCACACTATTAGGCAGGAAAAACATGACTTTGCTAGAATACCTCTGCAGAAGGCAAACTGAACACCAAGGTGACATTAAGAGGAAAGGGGAGAAAAGACCAGAGAAAAGGCAAACAGGCTGAGACAGCTTTTAACACATCAGACTGGCTCCAGGAGCTGTTCCTTTTAGTGCACGGGAGGTTGGAAGCAGAGGCTGCCTTTTTGTTCTGGGCTTGTTCTACAAGTGGCACAACAGCAGGTAACTTATAGCTGGGGCTCAGTCTTAGCATGGGAAAAGAGAGTGAATGGCAACCAGAGCTCCTTATGAAAAGCTGAGGTATCTTTCCGCACAGGTGAAGACTTTAAGCGTGTTTTAACACACTGTAGGCCAAGATGCCCCCAGCAGATACAGCTCCATGCAGCTGCAATCAGTCTCCTTCATCAGCTCATGCAATCAGCATTGCATGGACTCTAACAAGGGACACACCTGTGTAAGGCTCTGCTTTGACCACAAAGGACTTTCCACCACCATGCTGGATGAACAGAAGAAAACACCAGTTTTGGGGCTGCAGGTGACAACTCTGCCCCCTCCCCATTCCCTGTGGAATGTAGGGAACAAGGAGAATTGGTACCAGAGACCCTCCTGAACCTCCATAAAGCAAAGTCATTGAATCACATAATAGTTTGGATTGGAAGGGACCTTAAAGCTCACCCAATTCCAACCCCTGCCATGGGCACAGACACCTTCCACTAGAGCAGGCTGCTCCAAGCCCCATCCAACCTGGCCTTGACCACTGCCAGGGATAGGGCATTACTTATTTAGTCCAACAAGCTGCTTTCATCCCAGTGCCATTTAATAAAGGCAGTCAAGTTTGGGCTTTAGTCGAGACTTGGTCCTTCAGGCACTCCACCAATGACCCAGTGCTTTAGCCAGGAAAAAGGGCTCTGCCCAACTACCAGCAGTTCTCAGGAATTACCTGCTTTGGCACACTCACTGTCTTACACTGCACTCCCAGCCCTGCAATCGCACTGTCTCCTGCTGCCTGGCCCTGGAAGAGCACAACACACACAGCACTACACAGACCAGGGGAGAGCCATAAACCACCTCAGCCAAATCACAATCCCAGCCAAACCACAATCCCAGCCCTACAACCCAAAACAGGCAAACATCCACCTCAGCCCTGCCTCATCCAAAGGCCATAAAACCCCCAGGAAACAGCCTATTTCTCCACAAAACCCAGCCAATTTGAATTCAACCCACCACATACCTGGTTCCAAAGGCAAACTGCACTGCACAATGTGCTTCCCTCTGTAGCACAGCCCAGTGACCCAGCTAACCCCTGCAATTATGTGCAACAAGGAACACCTGTGCTCCATTAGTGCCCACAGCTGGGCAGGGAGCTCCTCTTGCCGCCAGATGCCCATGTTTTAGCTCCTCCATCCATGTTCCAATTCCCTTTAACTGGTCTCCAATTCCTTCATCCCATTCCTTGTTTTTCACTCTTGGCTGCAGACCTTGTGCAGATGAGGCCCAGCACAGCACTCACCACAGCCACCCTACAGACACTGGGTCTTGATGCACAGAGCCAAGCATCGCAGAACACAACCCAAATGATTGCCACAGCATGGAAACAAGACCCCCTCCCTCAGCACAGGTTATTCTGTGCCTTCAACTTGCTTTAATGGCTGGACTTGATGATCTTAAACGTCTTTTCCAACCTAGCTCATTCTATGAGTCTATGATAACCAGAGGTGTCCCTGCCCATGGTGAAGGGGTTGGAACTGGATGAGCTTTAAGGTCCCTTCCAACCCAAACCATTCCATGATGAGTCTGTGATTCTGTAACACAGGACAGTGCTCTCAAATGACAGCAAGTCTCCTGGGGAAAAGGCTATTTGTTTCTCTTGGTTTACACATCACCTAACTTGCCCACAGTATTCCTGTCATATGCACAACAGGCAATCACATGCACAACATGGGCTCAGGGCTGCAGCAGGCAGAGCCAATGCAGGATTGAAGACCCTCCCTCAAAGGGAGTACAACAGGAAAAGGAATATACAGCTTGCAGGACCTCGGGACAAGATCCTCAACGCACCATTTGGGGTTACCAGCATACATGTAGTAATCACAGACTCATCAGTGTTGGAAGGGACCTCTGGAGATCATCCAATCCAACCCCCTGCCAAGGCAGGGCCACCCAGAACAGGTTGCACAGGAACATGTCCATAGCAGGTTTGGGATGTCTCCAGAGACAGACTCCACAAAGCCCCCTGGGCAGCCTGTTCCAGTGTTCTGACACCCTCAAAGGTATAAAATTCTTCCTCATGTTGAGGTGACACTTCTTGTGCTTTAGTTCACGGCCACTGCTCCTCATCCTCTCGCTGGGCACAAATGGAAAGAGTTCGGCACCATCCTCCCTGTACCTGCCTCTGAGCTATCGACGTGCATTGATGAGATCCCCTCCCAGCCTTCTCCTCTCTGGACTAACCAGGCCCAGCTCCCACAATCTCTCCTCATAAGAGAGATGCTCCAGACCCCTGATCATCCTTGTGGTCCCAGTTTCCTATGCTCACTGGAAGGGAAACTAAAGTGCCTGTGAGAGCATCCCCTCCAAAGTCCCCATCAGCTCTTCCATGACCGCAGTGGGAAGGAGCCCTGGGTCCTTCCCGTGTAAAGGATTCCAT